CACAAGTTCATCGCTTCCCCTCAAACAGAATACAAGAGGCATCATGAGACGGGGAAGGTATGGCAATAAGGAGCTTAAGCGCGCAGGAAGCGTCAAACAAAGCTCCAACAAAAGATCTTTCATGTCCTCCCCAGCTGGACCCTCGAGCATTGTCAGAATAATATTAAGACAAGGTAGCAGCATTGGTATCAAATCTCTCAGAAGCAGCTCATATTTACATCCAGCAAGACCTCTGAACACAGTGCGTAGCAATTGCATATAACCAAGAGGTTTTTCAACTTCAGTAGCATTCTTCATGCAGACTTCCATAATAACAGGCACGTGGTGCTGTAATATTCTTTCAAAATCCGAAGGTGCTTTGGTAACAGCCCCAAAGATGCACCTAAACAGATGCAAAACTAGTTTAGTTGCATCTGAATCTGGATTCTTCAGAACATCAAGTTTGCTGCTTACTAGTAAATTTATCAAAACATCTGCAAATGGCTTGTAGACTTTGGGAGCTTGCAGAAGTGCTGCAAATATCTGAACCAGTTGGTTATTATTAATCATGGACTCAAAAAGCTCCGGCATGCATAAAGAGAACATGTCCATTAGATCTCGAGGTTCCATAATAGCAAGAATCTGGGAGAAAAGACTAAGCATTTCCTTCTCTTCGTCCTTTTCTTTGAAGAGAGCTAAGCAGTGGACACCACTCCTTAAAACACCAGAGGCTTTCCATACCTGCTTAAAGGCAGAGGTTACTAGAGGTTTGTCAGCAATGCACTATTAATGACTAGAGCAAACAATCTCAAAAGCAATACCTCATCTTCTCTCATTCCTTTAAAACCTTGAGGAGCAGATGATTGTGATGCAAGAGCTTGAGGGTTCAACCCCTGGGAAGCAGGAGAAACTTTCATAATTAATATACTTGCACGACAAAAAAAAAATACAACAATTGACAATAGAGACAATTGAACACAAACCTGCGGGCGAGGCAAATGGGCATGGGTTATACTCCATATTATTGTTTTCATTCCTGAACACAAATAAGGAAAAAATATATGATCTTCGAATATAATTATAATCAAGTAAAAGAAAATAATTCTGCCAAGATTCAGTACCCATGACCAGTGTCTTGATCAGGTTCTTACAATCATTCACTTCTTTTGAATGTTCGACAGGAACCTGCAAATTCAAAACTGCCTGCAACCAGTGTAGTCTAGCAATTAATAAAAGCTGCTAGATAATCCAATTGGTGATCCAAACAAAATATACGAAATTATCAATAAGAATGCATAATGCTTTAGGTAAAGAGACAAAAAGCATGGTATGAAATCTAAGAATCCAACTTGAAATTATAATACTGCCTATAATCAAACTTTAAAACGAAAGTGGACTACCTATGTAAGAAAATAAGAGAATATTAAATTAGCAATCGAGTTCAAATATAAACGTGTGACCCCACATTGGCTTGCATTTCGGGTTACTCACTATAATAAAACAGTCATCATTGAATATAAACAGACACGAATTACCTGGACAGGAAGTTCAAGCTTTGCCCTCAAAGTGACCCGATCTTTTCCCACCTCACCCTCCTCCAACAGCTGTGTATCACAAAGCAAGAATAGGTAAGATATTCAATAAAATTATGGAATTGAGAAGAGAATTAGCTAAGGTTCAATATACTTTTTACAACTTCTCTGAAAGATCATATAGCAGTTCAAAGAGATAACAAGAAAGTAAATGCTTCTTGCAAAATATCCCTGAAGACCAGGTGATCAACTTAATAATAGATACACTTCTATCCCAATCTCAAACAGTAGAAGGAAAAAGACTAAAACACAAGGCTAACAAAAACAATAAATCATCAATATACAGTAGAAAAGCTGGGCACAACATTCGAATTTGAAAAGTAACCAGGATTACCTGAGGAATGGTTCGCTTGAAAGTACTGAATTTCCCAACGAAGGCATCCAGGATACGTCCCTATATACAAGGCGTAGCATGAGTTAAGTTAATGGATAAAGAAACCGACCAATTCTAAATTGTTCTCAGGTGAATTCTTACCAGTAAAATCCGTGCTTCATCCATAGACTGCTGATCAACACCTTTCTCAAATATTGGTTCTACCTGAATCCAACACAAGTATTAAGTATTAACTGAAGCTAAATTCAAAAACGTAAATAAACTAGTACGCATATTTTAAGTAGTTTATCAAATTAAACAAGACAAGCACGGTGGGGAATAGAATTACCAGATTTAGCATCAGCCGGGCACATGTTGTATGAATACTAAGAGAGAGGGTAGAGTCGTGCATGTTTCTTGAAAATAGGTAGATAATCCGCGATAACTGCAACATTGTTTATAGTCAATTCAAAGGAATGTAAAGGGAAGCACACTCACTAAGCAGTAAGCACAACAAAAAAAACAAAAACAAAAACAAAAATGATAATGCTAAAAGAAGGCCTGATAATGGAAAGAAAGATTGATCATGTTATGTTTCTAAGATTTCCACACAGAGGACAATAACTGCGTACTGTAACGTATTTTCAATTATAATATAGTCAAGATTAACGTTAAGCACAGTATAAAGCTCTTCATCAGTAAAAACCTGAGAAAGAGAGAGATCTCCGCGAACTTGGTGAACGATCTCCGCGAGTAGGCTGTAAGCCAAAGGCCTCAAAGACTCAAAACAAGCTCGCCCAGTTCCAACTAGAACCCTGACTCAGAAGTAAAGAAGACAAAAAAAGAATACCTGACAAAAGTCATTATTTGTTTATAGATATCAATTTAATAGATTACATGGACAAACAAAAGATGTGCTTCTTAAGCCAAAAAAAAAAAAAAACAGCTCCTTGAAAAACATGAAATTTTTTGAATTTCAGAGATACTCCATAAGCCACATACCTCTCATCTAAAAGAGTGTCAATAAGAGGAAATAAGCCTCTCTTGAAATCCGTCCCAAGTACATGCTTTAATGAGACTAAGAGTTCCTGTATTTCATGTAATGAAAATAATTGAAAATGTCACTGCAATCCATTAATGGTTACACTCAGAACTAAACAAAAAACAAATAATAATAATAAGAAAAGGTTTTCCACCTTTCTGATAGATGCAGAATCTGAGCAGGTCACAAGCAAATTTACAATGCTTTTACATATGCTTTCTTCATGCGGCCGGATATACTCGGCGCAACTTTTTAACAAATAAGTCAAAAAAGAAACCGTCTGCAAATTAACCAAAAAACCAAAAGTCAATCTACCGTGTCATGGCCACTTCAGAACAACATAATTCAGATGAAAATGAGTCGGTCTAGGCCAAGATATAATCATATTCAACATCGCAGAAAGATTTGATTTCCTTCCTGACGCAGAACCAAGTCTCTCACCTTAACCTGTGCACCCTTCAACTCTATGAACTGAGGCTTCAAATGTGAAGGGACATTCTCAGGTCCAGGGACAGATATAGCAGCAACCATTAAGGGAAGCAAATGAGGAATGTTGGTTTGAACGAGTCGGCTATACAGTTGGAAAAGAAACATAACAACAAGAGGGCTCTCTGTGATTATCTTGAAAGACCGAGTACTCGGGTTAAGCTGCCCATTCCCGATAGGTGGAGCAGGGGTAAGGGACTGATCAGAAGAAGTAGTCGTCTCCACAGGCTTCACCTCTTCCATTTTAACATTATCGAAAAAATGGCTAACAGTGAATCTGAAAATCTGATAGATCTTGCAGACAAAGTCTAAGAATGGCTGAACCTCGTTTTCTAGCGTTGGCCTAAAATTCCTAAGCAGGTCGAAGATTATGCGAATGCAAATCAACCCGTTTTCCTCATTATCCGTGGTGAGCACCTGCATTGCAACCTTCAAGAGGTCCTGAACAAAGGGTCGAAGAACCTCACTGTGGGGAAGACGATTAAGGATCTCAACCACAATGTTCCGTAGTTTGTGCTCTGGATTATCAATGAACTGTGGTTTCGTAATCTGTAGAAGAATAACTGAGAATGCTGGGAAATAGCATTTCAAGAAATTCAAGTACTCAGCCGTATGAGCTATCTCTAGACTGTCCCTTACTTCAACCACCATCTCTAGCCTCGTCTGAATAGCTACAAACAAACAATTTAGCCCCAAAGATAAGAATTAGAATTGCTTTAGTAGTTAAAATTGAAGCAAGAATAGTTTAAAGAGAATCATGAAAGCAAATTCGCCCCAAAGAGAAAGAATTAGAATTTAGCGTAAAAGGAAATTTTCTTGTGCAATTAAACTGAAACAAATCATGGAAAGAAAAAAAACGAGGGAAAAATCAAAGAGAAAACTTACGTAGGTCAGGATCCACGAGACGACGGGCATGTTGCTCGAAATTCTGAATTGGACTCATGGTGAACAAAAAGCTGAGCCACACAAGAGAAACAATCTACACCGCGTAGCTACTCCTCCGTCTCCGACGATTTCTCACTTGAATAGGTCAAAAGAAACAAGTAGAAGTTTATGAGGGTTTCTACAAGAGCTACTAAATTAGGGATAATTCAGGGAGATTTACGAGAGCAAAGAGCAACGACGACTATGGAAGATGATAGTTCTCTAAGTAATTTTCCCTCTCATTTTTGTTTTTTTTTTTCTTCTTCTTCTCTGTGACTCCTTTGAAGTGAGTCTGAGAACTCCGACACAATTCATGAGAACGCCGACTTGTTTGTACCGATCAGTTTTTATTTTTTTCGTTTCTATTTAATGGGCCCAAAATTAGGCCCAATTTAAAATCTTAAGGCCCATAAAAAGAAAATTAAAAAAATGGAGAGGAGAGGTGTTGTTATCAAGACACTCACATTTAAGCTAACGAATATTATTAGAGAGAACCAAATCACATCATTTCTTTTGCAATTAACCAAAATTCAAGTGTAGTGAACGCCAAGAATCTAACACCCTCTAAATTACTATATAATACCAAAGGATTCACTAATTAATTGTGTTATTTATATATATATATATATATATATATTGATCGAATGTACGTATAAGGAGAACAATGGAGAGAGAAAATGGTTGTAGAAGCGTGTTAGGCGGTCGTGCGGTGATAGACACGAGACCACCGTTTGGATCGGTGAAAGAAGCGGTGGCTTTGTTCGGAGAGAAAGTTTTAGCCGGAGAGATCTATGCAACTAGGCTTAGAGAGGTAAACAATTTCCATTTAATTACAAAGATTGTTGATTTGAGAACATTACTATTTGGGGAATATATCAAACAATTCACCTGAATATCTATACAAATTAAACTTATTTGTGTATTTCTATTAGTTAAACTTGATATACAACCGTTAAAATACATGAAAGTTTTGTACGTATAAAAGGAACCCTAAAAAAATGGGGGAAAAACACATATTGAGGAAATAATTTGAAGTATTTTATGAAGGGTCAAACAATATTTACTAATTCATTTTAGATGAGTTCATTATTTTTGGAGACGAATTTCATTGTTTTTCCTTCTCTTTTTGATTCCACGTTGTATAATTATTTTTTGGTTGGATTGTTTGCCCCCTAGCTCTATGGTTTTTAGGAATGTTGTTGGTTCTTTTGTAAAATTCTTTTCCATCAACTAGGATCTTGAATTCTAATTTTGAACGTGTGAACGATATTCAAACAAAATATAACTTCGAAACCATGCATATATAGTGATATAACACGTCCATAATCTAATTTCCATTGTATGATAATTAATAACGCATATTTTTTTCTTTCTACATCGCAACATGTGATTAACGGTTTTAGATACGGACAAAGGAAACAAATTCAACTTCGAGTCATCAATCGAGATTACGATCCCTAACACTTGAGCTCGAGCAGACAAAACAAACACTTACAAGAACCTTACAACTAAACACCATCCTCTCCAACAGAATCAAAACCCTAACACATGAACTCGAACATGGGAGTAAAGAGATCCAACGACTCAATACAATGAGGTCGAGCCGACTAGACAACCCGGAGGTCGAGGAACTCAAGTTCGTGGAACAACATCAAACGACGACTTCCAAAGATGTTGAAGAAGAGGTTGTAACAACGGAGGAGCTGGAGAAGAGGAGACTCGTGACGTTTGCGAGCTCGCCTTTGCTGACACGTGTGATGTCAAGTGTCGAAGTCGAGGAGGAGAAGAAGACGAAAAAAGAGAAGGTTTTAGAGAGAGTTTTTTCGATTAAGAAGACGAAATTAAAGAGGAGGTTTTCTCCTTTCATGGGATGGTTTAGAGTAACCACTCGAGGAGATTGATCAGTCTTCAATATTGCATGGTTATTGGTTATATGACCTTGTATTGTTATATAATATAGTTTATGTGATGTGTATGATCTCGTTTTACAATTTCATTGAATGAGTTTTGTGTTCTAAATATTAATATGTTGCAACGATCTAACATTGATTCATTACACTTTTCTAGAATATTAAGATGAAAATACTAATTAGTTACATCAGATTGAATTCTTATATTTATACTTTTTTTTCTCGTCAACATTCACATGTATATATTATTCAACAGGTCCACTCCGTAATGGAGGCGGGTTCGGAGGCAGGTCAAGCAATGACTTAGGGCCACCATATTTTCTTAAAGCATCTTCATGGCCACCATATTTTCTTAAAGCATCTTCATCCCTCATAGGGGTTCTTAAATTTATTTTCATAATAAATTTGTCAATTAAAAAAAGTTAAGAACTCCTTTTTTGCATGTCCATCTCTGATATTCTTAAAAGGTTCTTAAAATTTTAAAAGTAATTACTTTGAGCTGATATTTACAAATCTATTCTCTTCTCAAATCCAAGACGTGTGGGTCTGTTTTTTTAGCCCAAACACGAAAAAACTTTTCACCAATGACAACGTGCTGCGTTTTTAAAAACTCTCCTTAGATGGAATTTTCACACAAGAACCTAACAATTCAGGTTCTTAAGTTTTTATTTTTTTTTATTAGTTAAATTAGCTAAAAACCTTTTAACATCCCAACGATGGAGATGGTATGAGTTACTTACAGATAACATATTTAGTGTGGATTACTAGTTTTTTTTTTATAAACTATATATAAATACCCTTTTATTTACATATTCCAACAGTTTGAAAATGCCAGTGTCCAGATATGATATTTCAGATTTTTGCAGTCATTGACATATAAAGACACAAAATTTTCTAGCATATTTATCTCTGTTGTTAACATTCATTGCCGAGGTTACTAGTTTGTAAGACACAAAATTTGAAAACCATGTTTTTATTTAAAATATTATTTCTAACTAAAAAAATAATTGATTTTTGTCACGTAATTATCTAGTTTTACTTATGTTTTCCTTATATTTTAGAGGAAGTTTGTAATAATATTACCTAAATTTATTAAATTTGAAAACTAACTCATGTTTTCAAAAGTTTAAAAATTAACCTTTAAAAATAAAAATTACCAAAATACTATAAATAAACTAAAAGATTTCAGTAAATAATCTCGTCTTTAGTACTGCATGGTTCCGCTCTGCAAAAACTCTGAATCATTCTCTTGAAGCTCATACTTTTCATCATAAATGATCCGCTTGCCCTTAAATGACCCAGCCAAATAGGGAAATCCCAGATAAAAAACATAACTATTGCTTTCCAGTTGGCTGATCTTGATTCTATTGTAACGCTAGAATAAAATTACATCAGAGTCTAATGGCAATTTAAGCTAAAAAGACAAAGACAAAACAATTGTTTTTATATACTGATAAAGACAAAGACAAAGACCTAATCATTGTCTTTGTTTTCAGCAATGATACATAAATTAATAAGAAAGAAGCCTTATCGATCTAATATAGGTGTATATGGTATGCTTATCTCTAAACTTTGCTAAAGATGACTAGTTGGACAATTCTTTCATCATCAACTATATATCTATTATAATTTCAAGTTTATAAGGATCTATCTGTTCGTTTGTGGAGAAAAAGGTTAGTTTTCAAAGTTTTGAAAACATGAGATACTTTTCAAATTCAAAGAAGTTTTTAGATTATTAAACAAAATCTATAAATTATTTATTTTTTGCTTATTTTTTGCTTGATTTTATATTATGTTTTTCTTATATTTAATTTTATGTTTTGTTTATATTTTTCTTAATAATTTCCTAATATCAAAAAATGTTAAGTAACTGATTTCAAGTCATACTAATATGGTTATTTATCTTTAACATGTTTTGGTATAAAAATTATTGCGTTATTTTGGTATAAAAATTACCGTGTTATTTTATTGATTATACCGTTAAAGATACTTCATATAATATTTTATGAAAACTTGAATAGAACTGGCACATGTTTTCACATTCCTTTGAAGAGCTGGATACTTAAGAAAATGGTTTAGACAAATGATACTTTTGTGAGGCAAATTACTAAACTCTCTCTTATTTTATTTTTTTGGTTTTTATTTGGCTCCTTTATCAACATTTCTTACTTTATGATTACTAATATTTTGTTTTCTTCATATCTTTCATCTCATTAATTACTTCTAGTTTTACATGATAATCTGTGTTTTACCTCTTGTAAAATTTCTCATAAACATGAAGGTCATGAGAATTAGAGTTGAATAAGTAAATATTAAGATCTAACAAATGTAAAATTTTCATTAAAAATAGCAAAATGGTATTGATAAAATATATTAACTATCAAAGTATATTCATTTGGCATTGTTGTAAAATGTAAATAGATATACCAATATTTTATCCGCTATATATATATATACAATATAGAATTCCAGAATATATATATATATATATATATATATATATCTCAGTTTAAATGTTTTCGTGATAAAAAATGTAAGGAGAAATAATTTTTAGAAATAATGTTTTGGTTTTTTTTTGTATTTTTTATAAATGCATTGAGATTTTTTTTGTACTACAAAAATTTATAATTTACAAAAATACACATTATTTATCTTGTTTTAAACCACCATTTTTGTTGGATTGGGGCTGCTATTCAAACTAGGTGATCGATTTACATCATGTATAAAAGAATTGGTCTGTAAAATTTGAAGATCATGTTTTAGTTATTTCTTTTGAATGTGATTTTCTACATAGACACTAGAATGACTATTTTTTTTTTAAAAAGAATCACTGTATAATTTGTAAGTCTAAACACTAACTTGAATTAAATGGGAAGAACGAATTTATTTTTTATAACTAAAGTAACAAAAAGAAACGATAAACAAAAAAAAAAAGTTGTATCTTCTAAAATGTTATCTTACTCTTCTCCTTCGACAGTCACTTTATACAGGGGGTTGAAGAAATTGTGTTAGATTAAGAAAAGATTCAGGTATAAAATCAAATCTCTTAAAATGTTGGTAAATCTATTTTTGGTAGATAAGTAAGATTATACATCTAACATGATATTTTACCTTCAAATTAAACACCAAACTGAACTGAGGAAATTAGGATCACCCTCCGGTCCAGTTAACAGTAACCTCTTTAACATCCTTAGATTTTCCGGTTTTCCCAACCAGTACATGACGCATGCTTTACTTAAGAAATGGTAAACATTGACGTATGTCATCTTTTGGGATCATAAAAAGGGATACTAGCTTGGAATCGCATCAACAAGATAATGTACCTGAGTAAATCCAATGTCATTCATAATAACCGTTGTGACAACTAAATTGACGAGCTTCTTCTTGATCCTGAAAGTTCATCAAATGAAACATCCTCAAAACTCATAGTAACTGATTAGGGTTTTTTTTCTTTTGCAGATCTGCTTTCGCCGTTGGAGGTTAACGTCATTTCCTGCCTCAAAACGGTTAGTAGATATTGTTCCGAAGTTATATACTTAGCAATTCTTATATTTCTTCTATCTTCCTGTAATTTTGTCTGTCGGGTTTGAGTTAGATATGTCCGTTGGGTTTTTTTTCCCAGATCTGGTTGCATTTTCTCGATGCCAGCTTCATCTAATAACGGCAGTAAACAGTATAAACTTTGTAGATTCCATTTGGATGATTTGTTTTAGTAGACTTCATATACAGTATTTATCATGTATTGATTGCTTCGGTTGGGTTCAGTAGACTGCATATGTGATAACACCGGATTTTTACCATTTTTATGGATCATTTTAATATCTTTTACAGGTGTTTTTACTCCGTTTTAAAAGGTTTTCAAAGAATTTCTATGTTTTCGGATTTTAAAAGACTTTTCAGGTAATTTGGGATAAAGAGGCACAAAATAGAACAAAAAGACTCTTTTGGATAAATGCAGACAGTCAAAACTCTCATGGAGAGACGAGACCTTCTAAACGTCTGATCACCCTCAAAATTGGACAACTTATAGAAGAATCAACCAGCTTTCAAATGCACTTGGTTTGGAGACATTCCAACGGTTGGATCTCAAGATATTCCATTAGCCCCGGAGCCACGCGGAGTCGGCCAGCAACTCACGCGACCGCGGCCAACAAGCTATTTTCCGCGGTCAGAAGCTTCCCGACCGCGGCCAACAAGCCAATTGCCGCGCTCACAACACTCCCGACCGCAGCATTCAACCTCCGACTTAAAGTCCACTTATCTGAAGCCCAAAGTCATTCCCAGCCTCAATTCCGGAACCCTAGAGACCATGGAGTATTGGAGACTATAAATACATGTCATTTAGGTCGTTTTTAGGGAGAGATTTTCATACTTTACAGAAACCCTTTTCCTTTAGCCGTTTTTATGAGATTTTTGTAGAAGATTGTTCAAGTCCGAGTTCTTCAATAGAAAAGTTTTCTTTATCTCTTTTCTTTACTGTTTTTCATTACTTTTAATAAAACCAATGATGATGTCGAACTCAGCCATGTCTGAGTAGATCCCGAGTTGGGCTTAGGGTTCCCGAAAGGGGCTCTCATAATCGATTAAGACATCTAGGTTTATAGATCTGGGATTTCGACCAGTTCTCTGTTTATTCTTGTTCTTATTGCATGTATGCTTGATTGATCACCTAGTATCTGATCTAGATAGTTAGTGTTGCGAAAGTTTTCATTAAGTATCAGCCCTAGAATGAAACAAGCGATTTTTCCGTAGGAGTGGAAACCTACCTGCGGTGAGATCGTGAGTATTGACGAGTCTTGTGCAGCTCTTGCGTTCTCTCCCTTCCAGGGCCAGAGTGGAAACCTACTGGTCAGGGTTGCGAGAAACAGTTGGTTATGATCACGACAGTGACGTAGTCATACCGCCGTACTCTAGCTCTAGAACCCATATATTGTTATTCGTCAATCCCAATCTATCTACACTAATGTTAAAACCGATTATGATCCCTTAGAGTTCCCAAAAGCTCAGCGTTTTTAGCCATAGTTTACAATTCCATCGATTTTTACTTGCTT